TCTGGTTTTACTCAAATTTAATGATGGGAAAAATTGTATTTATAAAAGCAATTTATAACTAAAATTATGAAATAAGATGTCATCCAGTTAAATGTTGAAAACAGAAAACATCTAAGCTGTACGAGAATAACAAATAAGAACTTTCGTCTAAATTTGAACGAATAGTTTCACAATATTTGGGCATCGAGTTAATGTGAGTCATTAAAGAGGAAGAATGTATTTGTAAAATCTCAGCGAAAGAATTTGAAGTAAATCCAACGTTTTGCCTGGCAATCTGGTCCAAGCTTTTTCAAGAAAAATATAATCAAACAACAAAATTATCGAATAACGTTTTAATATTGATGACTTCGGCAAAACGTAATACATTCGCAGTTGCATGCTAATTGATTATTTTGAAGGATTTTGAAATGTCAACATCGTTTCCATTATCTAACAGAAAACTGATTTAACTCCTGTAGAATATACACAGGAATGTGTGATTACGAGACATAAAGTATGCACATGTGTTTTTAATAATAAATATTATCATTTCTAGGTGGTAAATGAATGAAGTGAATTGGCGAAATTAAAGAATTGAAGTTTTCATTTCTTAAAATTATTTCGAGAAAATGCATTAGTTACATTCATCTCCTCATGTGAAACCCAACCGCTTAATGAAACACTTAAAGTTCAGTTTATTCCCCGACTAATTTACGATTGTGAAACACCACTGAATTTAGACATTTAATGTTATATTTAAAACATGTTTGTGTGTATTTTGGGACCAGAAAATGAGTTATGTTAAATTGTAATTTTTAACTTTAGAGGCTTGGTCCATATATAAAAATATGAACAAATGCTAACTTAATATGAAGCCGAGCTTCAAGAAAGGTTTAACGTTTACTTACAAATGCATTTAAGTAGTCAGATTAGCATAACAGAAAGTTTACTTTGTGGCTTTTATCAGCTCGACTTTTTTACATCACACTATTCCAAAAATGATCTTCAGGGGTTAACTGTTAATGTATTTTTCCCAGTATTGGTGGCAGCTCGTTTTCATAATGCTGATCACATGAGGTTTGTTCACTAGAGCTGAATAGCTACTTCATTTTCCATTTGAATCAATATATATATATGGTTTCAAATAAACCACACCACAATGTATTGTTTCATATTAAGAAACCCTTCTAATCTTTTTCGCCTATAATGAAAAGTTTGATGTGATAAATATTTTATTGTAAGATGAGTTGTTTTACATTATCAAATACTTTTACTTCTAAAATTCATAGAAATTATCCTTCTCGTAAAATCTTTTTCTATATATCACACGTAGTGTAATTAAGTTAAATGATCAAATCTGCAGAAAATTTTTCACTTAAAAAGTTACAATTCCAAACAGTAATTTAAATAAATGATGTTACCTGTAGTATTATTCTATGAGCCGTTAACATTTACCTCCCAGTTTGTATTACATAAGATAGTTCTGACATATATTACAATTTTTTTAGTTAACTTGTGTCTACTTTTTATCGTATACTGTGAATAGAACATAAAGTTTCAAACGTTTGAAAATAGAGCCTTATCTAATACATTTTCCTTACAATATAAAAACGACTCTAACCAAGTTTCACTTCCTATTTATGGTAAATGGATATTTATACCACCACTTATTACAAGTAAATTACTGTCATCCTAAAACTGGTTGATTACAAAACGTTTTTGAGATTTGTTATTTACCAGAGCTTCTCTCCTGAATTTAATCCAATAATGTCGCACAACCTATAAAATCAAATAAAAATTCATGACTAATTGTGTTGAATCCTAGGTGTGTTTCTAATAAGGGACTTAAGTCAGCATAAAAACTATTGACTATTGAAGAATACTAAATTTTTATTATAAATTGACTAAGTTTAACAGTGTAGTCCATTAAATGCTGATTAATAGTTTACGTCTAACGTGATCCTCGACTTAGGAGTTCTAGATTCTGTCCCTGGCCAGGTTATAAGTTCGCACGTCATACCGTGATGTTAAGTAACTCCACATTAAAAGTCACCGTTTACAATCTCAAAAATATTGTATTTTCTTGGAATACACGATTATGTTTTATTTTTAACGAAATTTATAACTTGAAGATAGTTGACATCTCATTGATATCATATTGCGAATCATTGAAAACCTGGAAAATTCTGAACAGCTATTTCATTCAGTTGTAAAAACTTTTTATCGCTTATCTTAAATCAAACTCCATCATCTTGAAGCCTCAGGGTGAACACGATACGGTAAACCATTTAGTTGTGATCCAATAATCTAGAATTAAAATTTCAGATTTTTTCCAA